TTTGGTCTTATCTTTATTTAATATAGTTTAAGGTGGGTGTGAATATATGTGGGAGGGTTCAATCTGAATTCCTATTTTTTTTGGTCTTTCTCTTTTTGTTCCCCATTCATTTTGTGCTAGGCGTGCGTTGTATGTTTATTTCCCCCTTTTTTTTTATTGTTATTGTTGCTGTTTTTTGTTTTGTTTCACCTTGTTATTACAGTTTGTTTTGGGGTGTGTGTGTGTGTGGTGAGTGTGTATGTATGTATGTGTGTGTGTGTTTTCAATTGTTTTTTGCTTTGGTTTCTGCTTTCATTGTTCTGTGGTTTTTTGTGGTTTTTTTTCATTTAAAAAATTTTTGTCCATCTTATTTCATTCTTTTTTTCTCTGTTTTCTTCATTGCTGCTACTGTATCTTGGACTCAAGGAGTACATGCACATACCCACTGCATCATCATATAGCATGGTGGTGGAGAGTGGGTCTCAGGGAACACATACCACAGTTAGCAAACATTGTGATTTGCAAGTAGTTTCTGAATCCTAGCTCCCCATTCTCTACTTATTCAACTTTCAGAACTACAAGAGACAGCAAAGCTTGCCACCCACAGTCCTATTTCAAAATGGAACAAATTCAGAGCCTGGATCAGGGAAGAATAGAGGGCTGAGCAAACATCAGAAGTGAAAGCCTCTCCCACTGCCACAGAATAACAGATCTAAAGAGATCTGTCACAATTGAGGAAAAACCAGAGGAAGACCACAGGTAATTTCAAGTGTAACAAGGAGAAAATTCCCAAAAAATCAGACTGCAGTGACCACCAATGACTGGCCCAGAATATGACAGGGATTAGGGAATGAATGGAAAGAGTGAATAAGACTCAAGAAAGACAAGATGCAACACTGAAAGAACTTGTAACAGATTTTGGCCATAAAAAATTTCATCCAGGAAATAAATAACAAGATGAAAAGTACGGAAACCAAAATTGGGCAAGCAGAAGAAAGAATCTCAAAACTTGAAGGGCAGAACATGGAATTAACCTGATCTGTAAAAAACGTAGGAGGAAAACTCAGAAAGAAAGAACAAAGCCTACAAGAGATGTGCAATTGTATCAAGAGGCTGAACCTATGCCTGATTGGTATCCCAGAAGAAGAAAGGGAAATGGAGAACTCCTTGGAGCAAGTATTCCAGGAGGTAGTCCAAGAAAGTTTTTCCCATGTCAACAGAGATGTGACCAGTCAAACACAAGAGATACAGAGAACCCCCACAAGACATCAAATGAGAAGACCAATCCCTAGACATATCGTAATTCACCTACACAAAGTAGGCACAAAAGAAAAAAAACCTAAAGGCAGCAAGAGAGAAAGGTGAGACTATCTACTGGGGTAAACCAATCAGAATAGCAGCAGACCTATCGGCAGAAACACTACAAAAAGGGACTGGAGTCCAATATTCAAAGTCCTCAGAGATAAACAATTTCAACCAAGAATTTCCTACCCAGTCAAGCTCAGCTTCATCAGTGATGAAGAATTAAAATCCTTTCCAGACATCCAATCCCTAAGAGATTATGCAGCTTCCAGACCAGTTCAAAGGAGACACTTAAAAAGGTATTAAGCACAGAAGAAAGAAAAAAAAAGAATGACCACATACTTCTCAAGAGAACAGCAGAGCACAGAACCAACAGAGAACACACTGCAACAAAAAACTTGAAAACACACACATACATCAATCCAAAAGCTAAAAGGAAACAAGCAAACAAAGAAAAACTTTATAAGAACCTCATGACAGGGATAACCAATCACATTTCAATAATCAACCTGAATGTGAAAAACTAAATGCACCACTGAAAAGACACAGAATGGCACCTGCATAAGAAACCATGACTCAATTATTTGCTGCATCCAGGAAACTCATCTCACCACAAGGGACACACACAGACTCAAGGTCAAAGGATGGAAAACAAGTTTCCAGGCAAATGGATCACAAAAGAAGGCAGGAATCATGATCTTAATATCAGACAAAACAACGTTTAAGCTATCAAAAATAAAAAATATATACAAAAGGATACTATAATGATAAAAGGTTCAATCCATCAACAAGAAATATTCATCCTAAACATACATGCACCCAACACAGGAGCACCAGCATTTATAAAGCAACTACTAAGTAAACTAAAAAAAGATATTGACTCTAACACTATTATGGCAGGGGACTTGAATACCACACTAACAGCCCTAGGTAGATCAAAGAGGCAAAAAATCATCAAGAAGATCTGGAACCTAAACTTGTCACTTGACTAAATGGACTTAATAGATACCTACAGAATATTCCACCCAATAACCACAGAATATGCATTCTACTCATTACCACATGGAATGTACTCCAAGATTGATCACATCCTTGGCCATAAATCGAGCATAGAAAAATTCCGTAAGGTTGAAATATTGCCATGCACCTTCTCAGACTACAGTGGAATAAAAATAAACACCAACACCAATAAAATTTCCCCAAAGCCCACAAAGACACGGACACTAAAAAGCATGATGCTGAACAACTACTGGGTCAACACTGAAATCAAAACAAATTATAAGATTCTTGGAAATAAATGAAAATGAAGATACATCTTACCAAAACCTCTGGGATGCCTTGAAAACAGTTCTAAGAGTGAAATTTGTATTTCTACAAATACACATCAAGAAAATGGAAAGATCACAAGTTGACAGCCTAACAAATCACCTAAGGGAGCTGGAAAGAGAAGACCACCAGAACCACCAGAACCCTAACTTTAGCAGAAGAATCCAGATCACTAAATAGCCCAAATACAGGACATAGAAGACAAAAATATCATTAAAAAATCAACAAAACAAAAAGCTCGTTCTTTGAAAGAATTAACAAGATTGATGGACCCCTAGCCAAATGACCAAGAAAAGAGAAAAAGCTCAAATAAATATAATCAGAAATACAAAAGATCAAATCACAACTGACCCTTAAAAAATACAAAAGAATAGGCCAGGCAGGTGGCTCATGCCTATAATCCTAGCACTTTGTGGGCTGAGATGAGAGGATTGCCTAAGCAACATTTTCTACCTCCATTCCTCCCAAAATGTGTGTTGTCTTGAATAATAATCACTGAGAGGTTTAGGACCTGGTTAGCAGAAATGTTAATCAACGGACCCAAAAGAAAGGGTACATTTATTTGCTGGAAAATAAGATGCAATCTGGCCTTCAGTGGTGGATCTGGTGGATACAGATGTCCTGCTAGGTGGAATAGTGGTACCTAATTGCAAATCAAACATGTAGACATAATTACCACATTGTGGAATGTGAGCAGTGTGTTCACAGAGGCTTGACAAGAGCCATACCTCTTTTTTTCTGACAGGAAAGCTGTAGCAACAACAATAGCAAAAGCAGCAAAACTTGGCTTTTCTTTAGGCTGACACAGATTGGTTCAGCTGGACAAGTGAAAGTAAAAGTTAAACTTCTAAATTTTCCAGAAAGCTCCTATGTGTGGATCTCTAAAGGTAAGCTAACATGAAACAGCAACACACACTGTCTGCATGTCATGTGTTCAGTAATCTAACAAACTTAGCTGCCATCCTGTGTTTGTTAAAAGGCACTTAAAATATTCTATTTTAGCAGCAATCTAATGATCATATTTATCATTTTTCTAGATGCTCTAATTTCTCATTGAACTAATTTAGATTATTAGATAATAGTACCCAGTACTTAACTTTAGTTCCCCAAAGGAAAGCTTTGTAATATTTTCTCAACATCAACAAAATAATTAAATTAAATTTAGTTACTGAAAATGTTTATCTTCCTAAGTACAACTTACTTGGTTCACAAATGAGAACCATATGACATAGCTTTTCTTTTTCCCCCTAGTTGTCAGAAAGCTTTGAATTTAATTCAGGGCTCAACTCTAGGGATTAGCTTTTCTCAAGTGTCTGATGGTAATGACTCCTTTAACTTCCTCTAGCTAGTCTCATCAGATTTCATCTCATTTTCCATTAATATCAAATCACACATACTTCAAATCATTGTAGAACAATTCAGTAAATAAGTGCTAAAGAAACCCATATGTCAGGATAATTTACTGGAAAACAAATGTGCTCATCAGAGTTTTAATTTGTGGAAATGACTATCATAAATCAAAAAAATTAAGAATAAGTATTCTTCACATTTTATGGTTAGTTCTGCTTTAAAAGTTCACGTCTCAACCATTTTTACTTTAAAAAGGCCCATGATAGCAATTGTTTTTTCATAGTAAACTAAACATGAATCAAAATAGTTATGTGACAGAACATTTCCTACTTGTGGCAGGAAAGACCTATGCTGTTTTGAATACAATCAACAAGAATTAGGCTTGTGAGAAAAGACTCATGAACACATGAACTTGGAATACCAGCTGATGGCTGTCATGCTGACAAGCTGAAGTCATTGGCTTCTGGAAGGTGAAGGCTGGAGGTGAGAGGGAGGCTGGTGAGCCTCTGTAACCTTCCAGCCCAGGCTACATGGAATCTCCCTGTTAACAAGGAGATCCCACAAGCAGTAGCTTCTGTCTTGACAGCCCCAGTCAGCCCAGCACCCAGAAATGTGTCCACATAATTTAAGCTGGTCCCATACCCGGAACAAGACAGAATTCGGGACACCCTATTCAATCACCATCACCATCCCACTGGGGCATATTTCATTAGCCTGGAATAACAAAACCTTATATATTACAGGAATGGAATTTGGAACTTTGCTTATTTATGGCAGGTTTTTGCTCGATTTGCTAAAACTTGATTTTAAAAAAATTAAGCAAAAGTCATCTGTTTGCTTACTATAGTCTCCAATCTCAACTATTCTAATATTAATAGGAGAAAGAGGTGATTATTCTTATATAGTTTAACTAATTGATTGGTTAAGTACATTTTTTTCAATACTGTAAAAGTTTGCTGCCTAAAATTGTTAAAAGGCATGCAGATAAATAAATCTACTGATTCTTTAATAAAGGTCATTTGTGAGAAAAGTGTTTTTCTTACATGATGATGATCCCGTTATCAATGGAAAATGAGTCAGAAGGTAGTCCGGCAATATTCCAAGCTTGAATTGTCACTGCTTCTCCCAGGGTGCCCGTAAGAGAGTAATCATCTGAGCAGGGGATACCTCTTCTTTTGCACAAAGTTGTCCACTCCTTAGTTTGGTTCTTTAAAATACACACAGAAAGACACAGAAACGAGGTGGGGTTACCAAAGGAATACTTTGTAACTCCTCAATTATACTTTATTCGTTGAATCAACAAACCATTGTAGAAACTCTCTCTCAAAAATGGTTTGTGATTATCAAACTTTTTCCAAATAAAAGTATAAATCAGAAGATCAGCTACATATTCAGCACAGTCAATGTTGAGATAAAGTCTAGCTTGATCACTTAATGAAGTCAGAATTTTGTATCTGGAAAAAATAATTATCATTTATTATTCTAAAGTTTCACTCTCAAAGTGTCAGGGATCACCATGTTTTTCTTCTTATTTTCTTTATATTATAAATGTCCAGCAAATAAAATATTACAGTAGAAAAATAAATCTATTTTGAACCAGTAGGGGAGTAGAAAATACATATTTCTAGGTCTCCCATTCCCAGTGGGAAGGACCATGGCAGGGCCCATGTTGGAGCTTGTGACACCCCACCTGGGGCACAGCCTGCTAGGACGCCTGGGAACCAGAAGGGCACGACAAGCCAAGATTCACACAAGTCAGAAGTCAGTGTACGAACTGAGCTTCCAGTTCAAAGATTTCAAGAACAGTGAAAGACTGGATAGAAAACAGGTCAAGAAAATGGCTGGGTGAGGGCCTGGCCAATGGCCCAGTAGGAAAGGCTGAATGCTTGGCCCTGAGTGGACATGGCCAAGACAGCACCTGGGAACATCATGCCTGACTTTCCCAGTGGAGAGGCTCTTCCCTTTGCAATTAATAGGCATGTTGTGGGAGATACTTTGTAACTATAGAAATGTCCTGGCTTCTGTCAAGCAATCACTTTTTCAGGTATCAGTTTATGTCAGTATAGACTCATCCTTTTATATTTTATCCAGGGGGTTCTAATGCTTTCCTATGCTGAAACTGTCTACAATGTGGCCAGTAGGAGTGTCTCTGAGCTGAGTTCTATCCTTTCTACATGGCCCCATCGCTCTCCAGCACATCCTCACTCTTGCTCAAAAGAACACTTAAGGTCTCCTTACAGTGAAGTCCAACTTGGCTGAGGAGATTCTTCCGACTTTAGGGTTAGTTGATTAGTGCCTTTATTCCACCTGCAAAGTTCCCTTGCCACACAATGTAGCATGTTCACAGTGTGGCACTCAGAGGTGAAGAACACAGGGCATAGTCCTGCCCATCACACGCACCTGACAAATGCCATCTGGCAGTTTTGTTCTGTTTGGTTTGGTTTTGACACCAGGAGCAGGTCATGCAGCTACGGAGGGAGGAAGGGCAGATAGCATTTCCAGTGCGGATTCTAAATTTTTTTGGTAGAGATGGGAGTCTCACTATGTCACCCAGGCTGGTCACAAACTCTGGGCCTCAAGCAATCCTCCTGCCTCAACCTCCCAAAGCTCTGGTATTACAGGCACGTGCCACCATATCTAGCCCCAGTCTGGATCTGGTACACAGCTCCTGTTCAATGTGTCCTCTTTTTCTGGCTGTGGCTGGCCTGAAGAAGTTCTGGAAGCTCTCAGGTTGAGCTTGATACTGGCATGTGCCTGACAGCAGGGATGTGGGAAGCAGAGAGGTAGGGGTCAGAGTTGATGTGAGGGACCGACAGACACAGGCAGATGTGGGTCAGCACCCTGATGCCCCACACGTCTGGAAGGTGCAGCGCCCAAGAACAGCTGGAGTGAACATGGAGGACTCTAGAAATCATCTTGAAATACAAGCCAAGAGCTTTGGCTAGTGCTCAGGTGCTGAGACAGATGGTGGAGTGGATTAAGGGTGTCCTCTTGGTGAGAATATCCACCGCCACTAGAACAGCTTGGAATTGTACGATAGGGAGAGAAAAGGTCACTTAGAAAGTTCAGATTAATTCAAGTCCAGGGCCCATGAGTCCCATGAGGGCCTGCATGTTCTAAGAGGGCCCGTGTATCCTAAAAAAGCCTGCATGACCTTATAGAGCTTGTGTGTCCTATGTCCTAAGACCATGGAAGAGTTCTGTCTTGGGGACTGGCACAGGCCCTGCAGCTAAGTCGTGTGGGTCCAGTTACTCTGGAGAAACGGAATCTTCCATGTCTGATTTATGAAAAGCACTGAACTCTGCATAAAAGTTGCTGAATAATCAACAACTACTCAGGTTCAAGCCAGGAGAGGTCCAGCTCCTTACTGAGGGCCATTGTGTTTGAGACTTGAAACTCCTTGATATTAGAAGAGGGCATGTGTTGTCAGGTCTCTGTCTTTGTCTGGGTTTCCAGAGCAGACTTGGATGGAGATGATGTGATAGACTGAGGAAGAGAGGCTGGGGAGGCAGGACAAGAATGGGTCGAAGCCAATGAAGGGCAACCAGCCTGTGTCCCACAGTGGGTGGCTGCAGTTTGATCCCACAGGGAACCTCAGGAGGGAAGTGACACCTTGGACCTGTCCCAGCAGAAGGAGGGACTGGCTGCTCCTGTTGGTCACTGACTACTGGCTGTCAAGGGAAGGGTGTTCCTGGTGCCACCTGCTCTCCAAGTGGCAGGTAAGGTAGGCTAGGAACCCCAGGGAGGCTAACAGGGACCCGCATGCTGGCTGGGGGAAGTTGGGAGGGGTTCCACAGAACCCAAGTTGCCCCATGGTCCTGGTGCTGACATTGGATGAGATCTCTGCTGGGGCATCACTGTCCACTGTCTTGGCCTGAGAAAAACAAATGAAAGAGCAAAGGTGACAAAGCAGGACTTAGAGAATGGAGTTGCAAGAAGCAACCGAGGCATCCAAGCTGCAGGAAGGAACACAGCCCGAGGGTGCCTGGGGAAGCAGGAAGGGATCGAATAGCCCTTGGTCTTCACAGTGAGGGCTGGAAGGGGATGCAGGGGCTTCTGGCGTCAAGCAAGAACAGTGAGTCGAGGGCTTAGAAGCAACTCCCAGCCAGGGCTGTGCCTTGTGTCTAGCCTGAATGTGGTTTGCATCCATCGGGACACACTCAAGGTCTCACTTCTATGGCTCGTGGTGCCTAAGAGCATTTGTGTGGGGGTCTGACTAGCAGTCCCACTCTGGCAGGTCAGGGGGTGGCAGAGTCAGAAGGTGGGTCCCTGGTGCCGGTCGTGCCAATGTACCTTCTATGCACCTTCTGCAGGGACCTGGGTTGATGTTGGATGGGGCCAGTGCAGATGCCCAGGGTGTTTCTGAGCCAGCAGAGAAGGGCAAGAGCAGCTGCAGCTGTTCTTCCCAGGGTCCAGAACTATGCAGGAGAGCACAGTGTGCTGGACTAGGAGGCAGGTGACCACAGGCCTCTACTGCTCTGTCACTAGTTTAGCTGTGGCTCCAAACAATGCTGTTAAACTTCCTGAACCTCACTTTTCAAAATTGCCAAGCAAATACATCTGCCACTAAATAAATAATGTCATCTTCAGTGTTAACTGTTTGAGAGACAAGATGTGACTGCCACAGCCCTAGACAAGCCATCCAAAGACACAGACGGGAGAACAAAGTAGAGAAAAATATGAAGCTCATGCATCAGGACAATGGTCCCTGGGGCCCAGAGCACTAATGACAGACACATGGCTACAGAGAAGTTTAATGGCTTGGTACAAGACAACAATCATCAAACACACCATAACAGTGGCCCCAGAATCTGGCCTCTTAAGAACTGTACTGCAGGGAAGCCAGGGCCAGAGTGAGGAAGTATTCAAGGACACCAGAGAGCCTGATGGAAGACGGGGACTGTGGACTCGCTGCTGCCAAATGCCTAGGTATCTCCTTTCTCCCTATTCTCTCACCTCCACCCTTTTTTCTTTTAGTTCTTCAAGTTTTTCTAAACCTGATCTCCTGCTTCCATGTGGCCAAGCCCAGGCTGGAGTACATTTGCACTTTTCTTTCTTTTTTTTATTTTAAAGATGCGGGGTACAATTCAGAATTAGGTATACAAGTGGTCACCGTACAGGCAAAGTTTGGGCCTTCCTTTGGCTCCCACTTTGCCTGGTTTGAGATAAGGTACCCTTATCAATGTTGTGTTTCCCTCTCCGCAATTTCCATTTTTATAAAGAAAGCTGAGGAAGATGTGGGTCTCCTTGGGAAGGAACCAAAACGTGGAAGAGATGAAAGCAGGATGAGCTTCAGGGCTGGGAGTGGGCCAGAAGAAGAAAGGCAGGGCCATCAGAGGCTGGGAACACAGATCTGGGACTTGGGATCTGTTCTCTGAGGAAGAAGCTACTTAGCAGAAGGACTTCTTCTTGTCCTCTCTTCAAGTTCAGTCTCCAAGGTGGTTTTGAATGACACATTATTGAGATTGATAGGAAGTATTTGATAAAGAATACACACACACACACACACACACACACACACACAAGCTCTCTCACATTCACACATACACACACGGGCCTGATACCTTTACATAGTTCTTGTTCAGGAACTGAAACTTTATCATTAAAGTCTACCATTTTCACACTACATTTTAAGCAGATCTTTTTGTTTCTAAAACAATTAGATTTTAGAAGAATATTTTATACAGCATCTTTTGGCTAACAAGCTTATTTACAGAATAACTGTAAATATACAAATAAGGCTGAGCACCGTGCTCACACCTATAATCCCAGCACTTTAGGAGGATGAAGTAGGAGGACTGCTTGAGGCCAGGAGTTCAAGACCAGCTGGGGTATACAAAAATTAGCTGAGCTTGGTGGTACACCAATATCTAGGAGATATTTTAAACAGATTTAAAGCCTAGGAGAATGCTGGCTCTGATGGTAAGGCTCAGGGGTGGCAGCGTCCCCTCACCTGCCTGTAGCTGGATGTGAAGGCGCCCAGGTAGGCCACTACACCAGAGGAGATGAGGATGTCCCCCGTCAGGTTCACGTACAGCTGCCCCAACTCCAGGGCTGTCTGGCTCCAGCGTGTCTTCTCACCTCCAAGGCCCCCGATCAGTTGCTCAGCCCGTTCTAGCTTCTTGCTGCACAGGTCAACCTTGAAAATAAAAGTAAGCGTTATCAACACCTGTGGAAGAGCAAGCTTAAAGTCCTGCAAGATTTTACCCTCAGAGATAAAATATTTTTAAATTTACAAACTTGTGCCTGGGGTTTTTAAAAATTATCTTTAAAAAGTGGCATATCTCACTATGCTATGGGAGACTCCAGGATACTTTAGAATTTTTAATATACATGATTTACCTTAGTATAATTTATGAATTCATAATGGGTACTTCTCATGTAGTGCAAAGAATACCTCTGTTTAAGGAAATGGCCTACAGTACAAGGCAGTGAAAGTTAACTAAGCAGTAAAGGACATTCTCCTGCAAATATAGATGTTTTCACTCCATTTTAAATAATCTAAATACATTTTACTTTAAATAAACTACAAATGTTTTCCCCTCATTAAACTTAGGGTTGACTTAATAATGATTTTAAAGGTTAAATGTTTAAACGTTTTGGGAATTTATGCTTATTTACAAAGCACAATTTTCAGGTTGTTAAATTGTGTCAACCTACTTAGATACTTGCAATTAAGCTTAAAGTAGGACATCAATCAATAGCTAAGAGCCTACTGTGTGCATAAGACTGTCAGCCAAGTATGATTATGCATCATTAAGCAATATGATAAGAAGGGGGAGGATAATCAGGAAAGTTATTTCAACCCATGGGTGAAAAGACATTTCAACCCATGCAAGAGCAATATTCTAGCAGATTACCTTTTGATTTAGCTTTTAAGTGACTTAGCATCATCATTTTTGGAAGAAGACAAGACAAAAAGCTTATCTGGAGGTTCAAAAATAATTATCATGAAAAGAGAAATTAAAAAATCAAAGGCATTTAGGTTATTTTGGTGTAAGAATTTGGCATATGCTTTTTCCTAATGTTATTAACATTTATATTAAATAAATGCTTTTAGATGAAAAGAATGCAATTCCATAGCAGTTTATATAAAGATAGATTTTTAAAAAGCAAAAGGTATGTAATTGGCAATATTTCTGATGCTTCCTAAATTTAATTTTTTTTTCTCATCTAATTTTCTCTCTTTGAATATCTTTTGTCATTCTAGCCTTTTTCATCCTCTATCCTTTCGACAATGTTTATGATAAACTGAATCAGGTCTTGGACTATGACAGAGAAACTACTAGGGCAATCCCTTTGGGTACGCTGTGGAAGTTTTTCTGTCCTGTCAATAAATTCTGCTTTCTAAAAACAAAAACAAAACTACTATACATACATGTTCATTTACATTACCATAAGTTTTCAACATTTTAGTGCAAAAGATAAATAAAAACTTCAAACATACAGAAGAGTTAAAAAGGCATAAAGAGAATAACCACATATCCATTTGTTGGTTATGCTATTTAAACTAAAACCAATCATTCAAAAACCATGTCACACTAAGTCCCATTTCTAAAGCTCAGCACTACATCGTAGGCAGGACACAGGACAGATCTTGTGGCAGAGTTTAGTGTCATGGAAACGGGGATGCCAGCAGATTAGAGGCCTGCATCAGGTCTCAGTGTGTAGAAGCTGGGTAGCCATGGGCAGGTAGCTTAAACTTTCTGTGCTTTCGTTTCCTCAAAATGTACAAAATGGTGACATCCCCCTAATGGTGACATCCCCCTACAGGTCATTGAGAGAAGAATGGGACACAGTGTTCTTGGACAGCAGGGCCTTGCACACATGAGCACTTGATAAATGGCAGCGGCTGTGAAGTATCTTGATTTTTAGTAGTTAACGTTTACAGACAGTATCACTAAGTAAGTTAGAGCAATGCTTTTAGTCTTAAAAGATATTTTAAGTGCACACTGTATGGTTGTGGGTATCAAGTTGTAACTCCAGCTCTGCCATTAGCTGTTGTACAGTCTAGGTCACTCAACACCAGTTCGCAATTTCCTTACTTCCAAGATGAAAAGTGATCTAAATGAACTAGGTCCACATTCTAATGAGCTAAGGCAGAGGTTGACAAGTTTTTTTTTTTTCTTTTGGTGAGGAGGGGAAAGACAGAAAGTAAATATTTTAGGCTTTTTGAACCAAGAGGCAAAATGGAGAATGTTATGTGTTATGTAGGTTCTTACATAGCCACTTAATAGGTAACCATCTGAAAATTCCAAAACCATCACTAGCGTGCAGGCCATACCTAAGCAGGTGCTGGCTGGATCTGGCTTGAGGCTACACATAAGCAGGGACTGAGCAGGTCCAGCCTGTGGGCCACACATGGGCAGGCACTGGGTGTGTTTAACCTAAGGGTTGCCATTTGCTGAGCCCTGGCCAGGAAGAACCAGGACCGGCATGTCACATGACAGTAAGAACATCATTCCTATTTATAGTCACTGGGAACCTGCACACCTTTGCCATGTCATGCATACCTGGTTCTCCAGGTCTGCCTTCTTCTGCTTATTCAGCTCAAGCCTGTCCTGCAGCTTGGCCAGCTTGTCCTGCACCTCATGCAGGACTGCCTGCTTCTTTCTGAGTCCCTCCATGGCAACTCTCAACTCCCCTTCAGCTGCTGCCAGCTTGATCTTCTTGGGAGCCACTATTTTAGCCACTCTGCAAGAACCATTGGAAAGTGAAAGATCCATTATTATTCACATACAACGACCACCCCTTGATTCCCTTTTCTAGTAGCCTTATGACAACTCCAAACAATTCTTCATCACACAGAAATCCACATTAATTTTCTATTCCAAAAGTCATCCAAGCATCAGCCAGACTTAATCCTAGACGTGAGAAATGATCATTAAAAATGTACATCAAATATACATAGTGTCTTCAAATAAACAATTTTTTACCCAAAATAAAATATTTTAGATGTTGGTGACTTTGTAAAAGGACAATAGGATATTTATGTAGAATATTACAATGCTAATGGAAACTAGCCTAATTGGTTAGAGCTTAATTTTGATGAAGAGAAAGTGAGGTATTTTATGTTTGTCATTTTGCTTTTTTAAAAACTCCTAGATTATACACACCCTCCACCAAAACAGTTATATGTAAATATGCATGTGGTAATAAAAAGTGTTCTATAGAAAGAAGAATGAACCTAAATTCTCTTCTTAGCACCTGGAAAAAGTAGCCAGTCATGTTTTCTTTCTAACAAACTGATAAAATACTAAATTACCTTTATTATTAACACACTATGTCATGGTCTGGAATATGTATAGCTTTGCTGTATACATACATATATATAAAATGATTCAAATTGGGTATGAGTTTGAAAGACAATTATTTTGGTTTAAAAAAATAATTAACAATTATTATTCTGTTTTGCACATGATATACAAGGGGGGGGGCTCAAAAAACCAGAACTTATTATTAAAAATTGTGTATTTATTCTTACATGTTTAAACTCCAGTCCCCTTCAAAGTACTCTCCATTTGACACAAAACACCTATTGAGACTCTTTTTCCATTGTTCAAAACAGTTTTTGAACTTGTCAATTTTGATACTTTTTAGTTCTGCCATTTTTTGTTTCACCTCTTCCACACTGGCAAAACGTTTCCCTTTGAAAAAGACTTTGTTCTTTCAGGGAAACAAAGTCACTCGGGGCAATGTCAAGTGAATAGGGAGGGTGGGGCATGGGGGTCATGCTGTTTTGGGGCAAAAGCTGCTGAACACTCAGTGCAGTGTGACCAGGTGTGCTGGTAAATCACCCATCACGAAATGGGCAAACATGTTGAATCTCAAAAAAAAATCCACTGAAGCCAAACACAGTCTCTCACAACAAAACCAGCTTGTACACTGACGCTGATGGGTTCCTAGAACACTTACCTAATGGGGGAAGCCTGTACTACAAGGGTCCCACCCTCCAAAAGATTAATTCCGGGGTTTTTTTGAGTCCCTCCTTGTAACTAGTTCTCATAACATCATCAAAAAAGGCTACTCATTGCACAAGAATAAATATTGTGCCAGGTAATTTTAAAGTGTGGCCCAAGGATCCCTGAGGGTCACAAAGACACCCGCCCTTTGGGGAGTTCACAAGGTCTCCCTTGTCCAACTAAACATCTGTGAGAGGTTGGATTTTCTTTATCTACTTCTATCAAAACAATATTTTGATTGAGTGAAGAGGCAGAGTTGGGAGTCTGACTGTCTTACATTAAACCACATATTAAAGAGACTAGCAAAAATATAATAAAATACCACTCTATACCACTGTGTTCTTTTTGGGGGGGGAATGAGGCATTCTACAAAATAAGCTATTTATATTAACATGTAACATTTTAATTGCTATTTTAAATGAACTAGCATTTTACATTTTAAAAATTTCTCCATTTCAATTTCTGATATGGTAAAAAGCCAAAAGCTTTTGGGGATATTAAATAATTTTTAAGTGTATCAAGGTCTCCTGAGTCCAAAAAGCTTAAGAATCACTGTATTAGACTATTCAACTGAGATAATCTTGCTTCAAGTAACTATGCAAACACATAGCAGGTTCAGACTGGACTTTCCAAGAAGTCTCTCACTCACACAGCTTTTTAAGCTTTATATTGCCTAATTGACCAAATGTGGAAATAAACACACCAGTCAGGCTTCTGTCAAGACTTACTTGTCATACGAATCCATGGCTATGACCCACTTGCACAGACCTTCGGCTGCTGTAGAAGCATTTCTGATCTTTTCTGGAACAAAATCTGGATTTGGAATATAATTTTTTCTTATGATACTCATATAAGCTGGAGGAATATTGTCCTTGTCATATTCGTGAAGTGACTGTAGAAATCTGATGTCCCCAAGCAGTCTCTTAGCCGGGCCCCAGAAATCCTCCATCTTCTTTCCTGAGCCTGTGGGGTCAGGGATTTTATCAGCCTTGATGCCTTTCAAGATGCATATAGCTTCCATTACAAGTTTGACCCCTGCAGGGGGACTCTTCATGGATTTCACCACGGTGATATCCTGGAAATCACAGCATGTCAGTTATTTAAGAGGCGATGGTTTATACATTACTGGTAACTGGTTCCAGTTTTCCCACTAAGCCCTAAGACGCAGAAGCTCTCTCTGTCCGTTGGGTGGAAATGGTGACATTGACAGGACTGTGCTCACACCCTCCTCCCATCCCACCTAAAACTGAGCCAACATTCCCAGCATTACTTATTTTTAAGATCTACCTTTAGCCTTCTAAATTAAAACATTCCCCTTTTACACCTTAATTTTTAATACCACATTTCATTGGATCTAGGACATACTATTATATAATAAATAACTATAAGACACATCACTTCACATATCATCAAAAAAACCCAAACCACTGACAACCATTAATGTAATACTTGATTACATCCACCATAAGGCCTATCCCAATGATGAAAGCAGCTCAGCATGAAGAAGGGGTGTGAATTACTTTAGGACATAATCTACACTTGGGCCCCATGCCTATACAAAGGACTGTGACCCACCATGTAAAGCTCTGGGGATGTAGCTGCAGCTCTACACAGGTGATAACCCCAGCATGTTCCTCCCTTTCAAAGGCACGTTTGCCATGCAAATACATTTCTCTTTTCAGGTGAAGATGGGGACTGCTCCATTTCATTACATCTGGAGACTAATTTGGAGCACACTGGGCTGTCGCACCCAGTGCTTGGTGCTTTCTCACGCTGTAATACCATGTGTCCCCAGAGGAGCTGCCCAGGTACTCACCTGAGCGGTGAGTGTGTCCAGGGCAGCCAGCGCCGACTCCAGGATGGGCAAGGCTCCTGCCAGGTCCGCATCACACTCGTCCTTGATGGCTTTGGCTGCCATGGCCTGTTCGTTTGCGACTGTCTCGTCAGCTTTTACAATTTTTTCTGTCTTGGCGACCTCTACAGACTCTTTCTCAATGATCACCATCATCTCATCAACCTCCCTGCTGGCAACTTTTAGCTGAGGATGGAGTGCCTCCAACTCAGTCTGCATTGTGGCCACTTGAGAGGAAGCAGATTCCAATTTATCCAAACCCACCTCGTACCGCTTCTTAATTTTCATCACTTCGCTGAAAGCAAACAGAGGAGTCAAGGTTAGGTATCCCATGTTAAGGACAAAGGTCAGTGTTCCCAAGTTTCCAGGCTGCTTTGAGGCATAACTGGAGTTTGGTCTCAAAGGTTTTCACATATATTAACAAGCTGTCAAAAAAGATGGACTCTAGGACACCAGATTGGGCGCAAAGAAGCATGGACAGCATGCCTCATTCCTCTTTTCAGCACCTACATGTCATCCAGGTGGATAACAGAAATTCAAAAGAACAAGTACCCTGGACACAAGGCAAGGAGCTTCCCATATCAAGCAAATGATAAGTCAACTTAAGTTGATTCCAACAACACCACTGTTCCTTAACGATTTTGTATGATCACTTATTTTAAACAGATGCTACTGCACAAAATATTATTTTGGATGTTGCCAAATATGAAAAATGATTTTAAGATGCACCACACATCTTGAAATAGAAATTTTTTTTACTAAGGTAAAAATGACAAGTAGGATAGATGATTAAACTCAATACCCTGTTTGGCACAAAATGACTATGAAGTGATAACTGATTAAAATCATGTAATATTTCAGTGTGCTTCAAAAATTTTTATCTGCATTCATATATGTTCTCTCTACAGAGAGAAAACTCTTCTTTATAATTCATTATATTTAAAAATACTCAATATAGCATAATGACTCAAAGTTAAAGATGCCACATTCTAGAAATGCCCTTAAAAAATAGGCTGGAGCAGCGGGAACCTGGCTTGAGCTGGAAAGGTCACCAGGACAGAAAGGACTGTCAAGGAGAAAAATGCTCAGAAGCACAAGCATACCACATTGTGTCACATGCTGAAGTCCCTCTGAATGAGCAAATACTTAGCAGTGGTGGGATTCGGGCTGGATGGGGGTGCTGTGTGCTCTCAGAGTGTGGCTCCCATTGAACCCTGTGCAGCAAGCACTGAGAGGCTTCACTCCCGCCATCTGAGCTGCTGCTGTCTGTGCCTCACCCTGCAGGATGCTTTGCTAGTATCTCCCCCGACTTCCAGGCAGATGAAAACTCACTTCTAGGTTACAGTACTCCCTGGCTATTCAGAGATCTGAAGACCTTGGCCCTTTTATTATTGTTGTTGTTGTTATTATTATTATTTTAGAAACAGGGTCTCACTCTGTCGCTCAGGCTGGAGTGCACTGATACAATCACAGCTCACTGCAGCTTCAAACTCCTGGGCTCAGGCAATCCTCCCACCTCAGCTCCTTGAGTAGCTGGGAGTGCAAGCCACCACACCAGGGTAATTTTTTCATTTTTTGTAGAGATGGGGTCTCAGTATGTTGCTCCGACTGGTCTCGAACTCCTGGCCTCAAGCAATCTTCCTGCCTCAGCCCCCCAAAGCTCTGAGATTACAGGTGTGAGCCACCACACCTGGTTTGGCTATAGCTATTAATGGAAGAGTAATCACAGGGTAAAAATTCTAGTCGGGGTAAAGGAGAACTTTTAAAAAAAATTTTATTTATTTGGCAAGGAATTTTGAAAGGTAAAAATTTGAAAGAGGAAAATGTGAAAGACAAAAAGAATATTTGAAAATGTCTAAAATACTATGACTCAGCCGAGCTTGGTGGCTCAGCCTGTAATCCCGTGTTTTGGGAGGCCGAGGTGAGTGGATTGCCTGAGCCCGCGGGTTCGAGACCCACCTGGACAACTTGGCGAGACCTCATCTCTACAATAAATTTAAAAAAATTAGCTGGGCATGGTAGCGCGTGCCTGTAGTTCCAGCTACTTGGAAGGCTGAGGCGGAAGGATCGCCGGAGCACAGCAGGTCAAGGCTGCGGTGGCCAGGAGCGGCCACTGCACTCCAGTCTGGGTGACAGAGTGAGACTCCAACTCAAAAAAATAGTCAAATAGCCGGGCTCGGTGGCTCAGACTGTAATCCTGCGCCTTTGGGAGGCTGAGGTGAGTGGATTGCCTGAGCCCGCGGGTTCGAGACCCACCTGGCCAGCGAGACCTCATCTCTACAATAAATTAAAAAAGCAGCCGGGCATGGTAGCGCTCGCCTGTAATTCTGGCTACTTGGAAGGCTGAGATGGAAGGATCGCCAGAGCCCAGCAGGTCGAGGCTGCGGTGGCCGGGAGCGGCCACTCCACTCCAGTCTGGGTGACAGAGTGAGACTCCAACTCAAAAAAAAATAATAATAATAATAATAAAAAAATAAAATAACATACTATGACTCAACCTATCAGTTTGAACTTATAACTGTATAACTTATAAACTTATAATCTAGAAGTGTAAACTTTTCCTATAAGCTTGCATCTCATTTTTATAATTGTTTATTTTTGTTAAACATTGGAAGCACACACTAAAAGCCATGCGTGATATCCAAAATTTTATTAGAATCTCCAAGAGTTGTTTGATCTTCCCTAGATAGGAAAAAATGGGAGGAAAACACAGAAAGACAGAGATTTTGAGAGCCAGGCTATGTACAGCTGTGGGTGAGAGCTGCAGATTCCACGAGGCTGGTAGAAAAGTCACTCATCGTGTGGTTTGAGCACAGGGTTGTTGGGCCACAGTGACTAGGAAGTCCCACTCAGGAGGGCACAGCCGTTGTCACCACATGTGACATGAGGAGTGTCACACTGTGTCCAGGTTGCGTGCTGGCCAAGATAGAAGAGGGGGTTCAACATGCTTGAGACAGTGGGTTAATCACAGAAAGGTTTAGCATTAACTACAGAAATATGTATAAAATCAAGATCACCATATAGATGTTTTTATGTTATCTGCACATCTGGTGCTTTAAGTATATTGTTTAATATTTAAAAGAATTTGGTCTGTTAAATTCACAGATTAGGCTTGAACTTCTAATATAAATCACATAATTGAGCAAAAGATTTAGTTATGTGTTTTTAAGTAAAGATCTCACTTGTTTTATAGATAATGTTTATATGTTTAAAAGAACTTAAGGCTTATCATACATATACATTAAATTTACTAAATTTATAAAAATTACTTAGGTAGCAAGTAACATTTCATTTGTTAAATCAGACCTTAAAAGAGAAATACAAATACTGTATTAAAAATTTTATTAAATTTAAAAAAAAGTTTTTTTGAATGTGACCAAACATTAGTCAAAAACTCTCTTAAAGATGATCACTAAATCATTCAAACTAAGTTTCTAGCTTAATGTTAGTATGTTTTCAAATTTTATAACATACCTACTGAGCTTTAATTTTTATAGCTAAAGGAAATTTGAATGAACTTTTCTGCACATAAAAGTCATTCTCAAAGACATAAACAAATTCCAATTGTTTATGGGTGCATATGTTTTCAGGTGTTTCCATCGATGTTTCCAAATGAGTTTGTTAGAGGGGAGCTTGTCATGTGTACTGATTAGTTGCCCCAGGGGTTCTCAGCTGTTCAGTATCCAAAGAGAGGGTTTATCTATTCTCCCACCATTCATCAGAGAAAAATCCCTCTAGCAGTGTTTATGCAGGATCATGATTAAAACACCCAGGGTCTTATACAGCAAAGGACGGCACACCTCATCCCTCCAACAAAAGTGACTTGCATTTACGCCAAGTCGTACCAAAGGATAGAGTGCCCCGTTCTAAACTCAAAATGCTCATGGATTAAATCACTTAAAGACTTAAACTCACGGTATATTTACATGAAATATATCTCTTCTCATCACAGTTATGTCATTTTTGTACATTCAAATATTTGTAAACTGCCATGGCTTAGAAATATGAAATTTTGTTTTACCTTCTTTTTTTTTCTAGCAGCAGCTTGAAGGTGGAGATTAACTCGAGATAAGAGGTAGGAGTCACATAATTGTGTCTTTGGAGCTCCACGAAGAAAGACTTTGACAGGTGTATGGTGGAGGTATGGAAGCTCTTGCACATGTCAATGCAGCCATTGCGTGTTTCCCCCGACATCTCAATCTCTTCCAAGAATCTCGAGGCAACGGCCTGCAGCGCGTCTTCTGGCCATGGCTAAATTCAAGGTGCATGTGTCAGTGCCTACCCGCGGGTGTGCTCCTACCACAGCTCTCCACAGCGTACCGTTGCTGTCGGAGAGGCGGAGCGCAAGGCGCCGGCAAAAGGCTTCCCCAAGGCCTTGCTGGCCCAGGGCGGGAGGCCAATCTCTGGGCAGGCCTCAGGACACTAGCTCTGCAAGGTTTCTTCTGAGGTTAGGGAAATTGCTGATGAATATCACAGGAGCAGGGAAGAGGAGAGCAGCTAAACTTGTAAGATGGGTCATTTTACCCGTATTACCTCAAACTCTCCTAGCGATTCCCTGAGTTCTGCAGGTGTCATTCCTAAAACAGCTTCCAAGTCTGTTCTCTTCTTTCTATGTTCTCTCAGTCGTCCCACTTCACGCCTGTCCCTGTTATCATCTGCTTGGAATGTCCTGGCTGCCGGCACTCTCCTCAGCGGCCGGCGTGACCTTTTCAAAAGTAACCAGCTCATCCCACACACGCCAGCTCACAACCCTTCAAAGCCTCCCACATCTTAAAGTAAGATCCAGCCTATGCCAGGCACTACCTACCTTGACCTCCCCCACACTCCTGACCTCATGCTTCTCCCCCTGCGGCTCCTGTGCTCTAGCTCTGGCTTTCCTTCCCTTTACTGCCTTCAAAGGTTTATTCTTTGGCCCAGCCCTTCTAGGCACTGATGCTTTCTGTCTCTCAAGATCCCTCTTAAAGGTCACCTATTCAAAAGTCTTTTCCTCCCTGCATGCTCTCTGAGATAGATCCTTGTTGCTAACCTGTCCATAGGAAGCAAGCCTCAGGACGGCCTCTGCCATCGTGCCTATCTCTCTCCAGCTTTCAGCAGGACCTGCTACAGAAAAGGAAGTGCTCAGTAGCCATGCTGTGTACAAAGTCATTAATCTCCCGGGAGTGAAGGTACTGAGAGGCTCTGCCAATTCTCCAAGGTCATACATCTTCTCACAGGATCTCAGCCACAGCCCAGACTTCCTGTGACATGCATGGGAACACACTGCGATACCCAGCTGATGTTACAAGGGCATCCAATGACTCCTTCACTGGACCGGTTACTGCCCGCTACGCCCTCCCCACCCACCCCCGTACCCTCTGGTTTTGTCTCTCCGCCCTGAGCTTCTGATGCATGAAACAGCACCCTGGCTTTCTGCCTTTCACTGGGCTTGGCAAATGGGGAGAAGCTGGAGGAGGAGGGTGAGAGGGACGTGTTCAGACCCTGCCTCCCTTTCAGTAGCAGCTGGCTCTCCTAGGTCTCAGTTGCCTGCTTCTGCCAGCAGCCCTACTCACACGGCCTCTGTGCTCTGAGACCCAGCCATACCCTTCTCCCCGTGGCCCTTCATCTGGGGGATGGCAGCACTCCCTCCACTGCCCCACCATTCTGGGATTCCCTTCATCCCTACGCCTGGGTCAAGCCTTCACAGTGCTTTCCTCAGTGAGGGCTCCCTGGCGCACTCCTCTCCTGGCAGGACCCCGATGGCACACATGTACCAACGCTGTCTATAATATGGTGAGATTAGTGACCACAAGGTTCATGATTGAGTGTGGTTCTATTCTGATGATTTCTAGAATTACAACTTAATAAATACATCATGAGTGATCAGAAAATCCTGCTAGACTACACTTGGGGGCAGTAGAGAGTCTCTAAAGGCAGCTGTGACTACGACAGCGCACTGCCTTTTCTAGAAGCCCAACCCAAACATGCAGGCAGTACCTGGAACCAGTCGATGGTGCAGCAGTTCACCAGCGAGGGGAACTTCCTCAGCCGGTTCCGAAAGGCATCCCCGATGGGGCTCATGGCCAGGACCACATGCAGCTGGCTGCGGCAGCGGTCCACGAACATGTTGAACAATGCCACGGGGCTCCCGTCCGTCTGCTTGGTCTTGTCCCGCTGGCGGTCTAACTGGCGCATCTTGTCGCATATCTCTTGCTTCTCGTCCAGTGCAAAGAGATTGGGAATCTCCCCGGCATTGAGCAGGTTGTTGATGTCTTCGAGGAAGGACTCTTGTTTGATCTGAGTGTCTGTGAACAGGAAGACACCCTGCATCTCGCCTTCAGCACATTTCCTCAAGATCACCTTCAAGTCTTCGTGCCACTCAGTGCTGCTGTAGCCCTTGGAGATCTCCACCTGGAACACGGAGTAGTCGGCCATGTGGGCGGCCAGCCTGGTGACCGACTGCCTCCCGCTCCCACCCACGCCCACCAGGAGTGCGTGGCTGCGGGGCTGCTTCAGGATGCGGGAGACCCTGCTGATGTGTTCGATGGCGAAGCGGAACAGCACGAGGCTCATGGGCTTCTTGCTGATGTTGTTGTACTCGTCCAGCTGGCCCTCCACAATCATGCGGAGGCTGTCCACGTTGGCCACTTCCCTGTAGTTGGTGTCCTCCCTCTTGGAATCGTGGAAGTCACAAAACATCAGGCTGCGCAGGTCATCCTCCACTACTACGCCATCGCCATCAAAGTCTAGACTCAGGAAAAGCTTATGGAAGTCTTCATCCATGTACTTCTTCAAGATTTCTTGGATGCAGTTGATAAGCCAGCTTCTATCTGTGTTGTCCAGGAGGCGGTCGTAATACACCCGGAGAACCTGCATAACCAGTTGAAGGCAGCATTAGCAACTGAATCTTCTGATTTTTAAAAAATGTTTTTATTTAGAAAATTTCTATGGGTTTTATGAAAAGCATATCCAAACAATCAGGACTGATTTAGAATAATGTTTAAATATTATATTGAATATAGATATTTGGAATAATACAGTGACATTCAATTATCAATAAATGAAAGGTAATTTGGGGCTGAAACAGTTTGCAGAGATGCTAAGAGAATTAAGTCCTTGGGAAGGTAAAGGGCTGTCTACACAGGCCCCTCGGTGTGGATGGCAGAGCTGGGCACTGTGTCCAGGTTCCCGACCCCCTTCCAGTGATGTGTCCTTTCTCTGGGATGCATAACAGTTTGAAAGTTACTCACAAATCAATAGATGTTTTTAAAATCAGAAAGCATAGTTTCTGTAAGGAGAGGAAATGTCTTGGGCAGAGGGGAAACTGTTTGGGGTATTTGTTAATTATTTTTGTAGTAAGCCATTGCAGAGAACAATTTACTACAATCAATCTCTGGCTATATGCACTCTAAGGCTTGCTACTTGCAAAAACTATTTCCTTAAAGTGGAATGAGTGTCCTAGGAGGACAGTCTTTTTTGGACTGAATTGTGTCTCACCACGAAACTCTTATTTTGAAGCCCTAACCCTTGATGAGACTGTAGTTGGGGATAGGGTCTTTAAGGAGGTAACTAAGGTTTAATGAGGCAATAGGGGTGGGGCCCTATTCCAACAGGACTAGTGTCGTTCTTATGAGAAAGAAACATTAAAGTGTGTGCATGCTCTCTTTTAGTCTCTGTCTTTCTCAATCTCTGTTTCTCTGTTCTTCCTCTCAATCTTCTCTGTCTCAGTCTCTCTCTTAATCTCTCTCTTTCTCTTTCTCTCAATTTCTCTCTCACTCAATCTCTCTAACTCTCTCTCTCTCCCCCTCTCTCTCAATCTCTCTCTCCCTCTCTGTCTCTCTCTTTCCTTGCATGCACAGAGAAAAGGCCGTGTGAGAACACAGAGAAAGGTGGCTTTTGCAAGCCAGCAAGAGAGCCTTCACCAGAAACTAACACTGATGGAACCTTGATCCTGGACTTCTGGCCTTCAGAACTTTGAGAAAATAAATTTCTGTTGTTTAAGCTGCTTAGTCTATAATGTTTAAGTTATGGCAGACTAATACAACTATGATATAAGCAACACATATTTTGTCAGAAAAGCTTTGGGTCCTGACTCTCCCATTTTGGGCAAATCACTTGAACCGTCTATATCAGCCTCTTTACCTATAGATGGAATTAGTATCACCTTGTAAATCTCATAGATTTGTGGCAAAAGTAAAATGATGACATACGTGAAAACACTATGGAACTGAAATATATAATTATTATAGACTGCCTTAGCAACAGGCTCCTGGCATTTGGGAATCATGGTATTGGCATTTTCACTATCAATGGTTTGATAGCATCATCCTCTTTTAGTAACAGCATGACAGTTTCCAGCGCAGGCAAGTTGTTTTTAAACCTCCTCCATACTCCAACCAGTTCAAAAGTCATTTCTTGATGAGACAATTTAATTTTTCAATGTATGTCAAAAGTGACTTTCTTGAACTGAGATATGGAAGACCTGGGAGTATTCCTATGAGAGAAGGAAACTGAACCAGCCAATGCCCCATACTTGTTTCATGTCTAGTCAAGGTCAGTGCCTAGACATGAAACAAGTATGTCACCATCCAGTTAGCCATTCAGCAAGAACTCAAGGTATTCAATACACCTGTGCTAGAATCATCAGGGGGCACCTGTTAAAATGCAACTAGCAGGACCCTGATAGGGACCTACTGACTTAAACATCTGGAGGGTGGCACCTGGGAATGTCTCCTCCCCACTTTTTATCTTTTCTTTATATAAGGTAAAAATATCCTAAATGTATACCTCAGAGGATTTTACACACGCACACAACCAAGCGAGCCCCATTGAGATCAGGGATAGGATGTTCCCAGCACTGTGGGGGACACACCCACACTCCTTTGGCCTCTCTCTTCCCCTCCCCAACAGGGAGCCACTGTTCTATCACCATTGCTCACATTCGTAAAAGTCATTATGTCAAACTTTCTATTATAAATCTGAATCATTGCAAAGGATATAATTTGGCATAGTTTATCATAATTGTGCTTTGAACTTGTTTACTTCAAAGTCTTGATTGCAGATTCTAAAACTTGATATATAATTCACATACATAAAATTCACTCTTCAAAAACATATAAATCAGCTGGGCATGGTGGCTCAAGCCTGTAATCCCAGCACTTTAGGAGGCCAAGGCAAGAGGATTGCCTGAGCCCAGGGGTTCGAGACCAGCCTGGGAAACTTGCCAAGACTCTACAATAAATCAAAAAAGTCAGCTGTGTGTGGTGGTATGCACCTGTAGTTCCAGCTACTTGGAATGCTGAGGCTGAAGGATTGTCTGAGCCCAGAAGGTCGAGGCTGCAGTGGCTGTGAGCATGCCACTGCACTCCAGCCTGGGTGACAGAGTAAGACTCCAACCCTCCCCCCCCCAAAAAAAGCATCTAATGGTTTTAGAATATTCACAGAGTTGTGCAATCATGACTACTGTCTAATTCCAGAACTTTTTGATCACCCTCAAAAGAAACCCGGTACCCGACAACAGTTACTTCTCAATACCTCGCCCACCAGCCTCTGAAACCCAAGTCTACTTACTGTCTCTGTAGATTTGCTTTTTCTGAACAATACAGTAAATTAATATGTAACCTCTTGTGCCTGGTTTTTTCACATAGTATCATGTTTTCTAGGTTCATCTATATTGTAGGATGTATCAGTCTTTTTTCCACTGTGTGTATTAAGCACATTTTGTTTGTTTATCCACAGTTGATGAATATTTGGGTTGTTTTCACTTTCTGGTCATTATTAATAATGCTAATACTATTCATGTCAGGTTTTTATGTGAATATATACCACTTCTTTTGGGTATAAACTTAGGAGTAGAATTGCTAGGTAATATGGTAAATCTATGTTTAAATGTTAGATGAACTACCAAGCTACTTTCCATATTATGCTCCTACCAGCTTTGTATAAAAGCTCCAACTCTTCCACATCCTCACCAACACTTGTTATTATTCATCTTTTTCATTACAGCCATCCTAGAGGGTGTGAGAGGTACTTCACTGCAGTTTTGATTTGCATTTCTCTGATGACTAATAATGTTGAGTATTTTTCCATGTGCTTATTGGCCATTTGCACATTATCTTTGGGGAAATGTTTATTCAAATACTCTGCTCACTTTTAAAGTGGGTTATTTGTCTTTTATTGTTGAATTATAATAGTTTTTAAAAATATTGTGGATACTAGACATGCATCAGATATATGATTTGCAAGTATTTTCTCTTATGTACTGTCCGTGTTTTTGATAGTGTTTTCAAAATTTATAAATTTTGATGAAATCCATTTATCTATTTGAGGGGAGTTTGTTTTTGCAAAATATCTATATTTAACAAGTAAACTGGGTGATATACATACTCAAGTCTGAGAGCCATGGAGAAGTCAGAGGGAATGAGAAACAGTAAGTCAGTTTTATACCTTGAAAGCCACTGAGTGAAATTAGTTTTTCTAGTGTGGTAACGGCATCTGGAAAGGAAAAGGACACCTCACAAAGCCACTGACATATATCAGACCATGAAGAAATCTCTTCTGAGTGAGCAGAAATAAAGCACAAACTAGAGTCTTGAATCCAATCACTTCATATTTTTTGAAATGCTGACAACAATGTGCCTGAAATGCTGAGAACAATGTGCTAGTGTCATTTCTCAGCTCTGCAGATCAATCAATGGGAAAATGAGAACTCGTGGAGCTCACTGCTGCCTGGGGGTGGCCGGCAAACAACAGACAACCTCTACAGTGTGTTAGAAGAAAAACAGGACAGAATAAGCAAGGCTGCTAGCACAGGAGGGTTTGATCAAAGGTGGGTAGGGGGCCAGTCCAGAAGGTCAACATCTGTGGGAGGAGCCCAGATACAGGGACCGGCCAGGAGGCCTCACTGTGGGTGAAGGGTGCATGAGGGTGACAGCAGGAAGCAGTATGAGAGACCAGGGAAAAGGCACACACGCAGGTCCTCTGGGTCCCTGGACTTTTATTCTGAACTCTCTGGGTGAAGCTGGGTGTTATATTCTAAGCTGAGGACTTAAATGTACTATGTTATATACATATATATCAATGTGAAATAGTCAACCTCATCATGTCCAAAGAGCTAACAGCTCTCATCCAAACTCAACAATCAACAGCTAAAGCAGTACAGAATCTGAAAAATGCTAAAAAGTAATGTATATACTACAAATATATGACAGCACATACAGACAACTTCCTCACTGGAGGAAGGTACCATGTGTATAATCCCAAGGGAGGAAACAAGCAATGGTGCCAGCCCTATCTGCCTTGTTTTCTGTATCCATTCATTCCCAATATTTACTGAGTGCTTTCTGTGTGCCAGGCACTGGGAAAAGCAGTGAATGACTAAGGCTGCTGCTCTACAAAGCTTCTTTGTAGTAAGTACAATCATGAGTCAAATGTTTAGATGGTGTCAGATGATGGTCAGTGTCGTGAAGAACAAAGCCAGGAGGCACTAAAGAGGCAAGGGCTGGGGTGGCCTGAAGTGAGCCTGTGTGGTGAACGGATACTGAGCCACGATCTGAGGGCATTCATGGGTAAGCCTGTGGAAGGCGGAGAGAGTTCCAGGCAGAGGAGGCATCAAGGGCAGAGCTCCTGAGGGGGAGGATGCCAGATACTTCCTCGAGGACAGTCACCCATGATAAAAATGCTGCCTCAGACAGTGCATCTTGCTATGGTCTGCAGGTTTATGGTCCCCAACCCCAGATTTATATGTGATATAAATCATGGTATTGAGCCATGGGGCCTTTGAGAAGTGATCAGGTCTTGGGGGCAGAGACTCGCAAATGGAATAAGGGCCTTTATAAAGGGGACTGGGGAGCTCCTTGCCTTCTACCCTGTGAGGACGCAGCATGAGACACTGTTTATGAGCCAGGACACAGGCCTTCACCAGACACCAGTTGGCCGGCACCTTGGTCTTAGACCGCCCAGGCTCCAGAAGTATGAGGAGCAGACTTCTGAGGATGAGCTACCCAGCTGAAGGCACTTTGCTAAGCAGTGTGACCAGACTGAAACACATGTCTTCAACCATCAGCATCATCCTCCCCTCTGGCCTCTCTCCTGCTCCAGCCACAGCATATTCCTATCACACAGAGCCCTTGGTCACATCCCAGGACACGGGTCCCACCCAGACAAGCAGGCAACAAAAAGGGAGCGCTATAAGACTCTCCAGATTGTGCTTGCTTCTGCAGCACATATACTAAAATTGGAAAGATACAGAGATTAGCATGGCCCCTGAACAAGGACGACACGCAAATTCCTGAAACGTTCCATATGTTTCTCAATTATGAAAGAAAACAACCAAAAAAGACTTTCCAGATGGTCCTTTCTGAGGACTCACTGTCAGAAGTCCTGCTGCAGCCAACACTTCGGAGTCGTGGGGATCCTCCACTTGGACACATATTGGAGTGTTGAGTGTGGGGAGTGGATGAGATGTGGGGAGAGAATGAGTGCTGTCCAAACAGCAGGCCTTGAGCAAGGCAAGGCCCCAAGCGTAGGCAAGGTCTCGCTTGGTTGCTCTGCATCCTAGCCAAAGAGCAAGGGATGCAGCTGCTACACAGAACGGTGTCTCAGATGCCCACACATCTGGGTGCACATAGTACAGATAAAGCCTTAGCCACAGCAAGATAACCGCGGAGCAGCTTGCCATTTAGGTAGCAACAAAATTCCATGATGGCTCCCTCACAGACTTTGAATCCCTTCCAGCTTCCTTTGTGCTTGATAATAAAATAAACACACCGAGCTAGTTCGGGGCCATTCTCCTCCATCAGAGGAAAGTGTCCCACCTGGCCTCAGCTTTTCTTTATGTCTTTGTGTCTGTGTCTTTCTTAATCTCTTGCTGCGCTCTCTCGGGACCCTCAAGGTAGCTGCGTGGGCCACGGCAGTTGAGGACTTAGGAACGTAAACTGTGCATCTAAAAAGCCTCAAGAAACTAGATTTCTGAAAGACCTTTAAAAATACATGCTTTTGTAGCTCATGGCTTTAACATAGAAGTACATTTCCATTTTCTAGGTTTCTTAACTACATTATTAAAATTAAAATAACTATATTATTTCTGTCTTAAAAATGGAGGAAAATGTTTTCTCTCACTTTTTCATATTCTTTGCCCATTTAAAAAAGATTGGACTATTATGTTTGATGCATTATTTTCTTTATCTCTCTTTCTCCCCTACCAGTTTTTATAAGAAAATGCTTATCCACACACCTGTTCCCAAGACAGCTTAAATACATGTTCATATGGTTTCTATGCTCTCAAATTGTGAGTCCTCTAAACAATCAACTTTGTAGTTCTTTTGGGACCTAGTAATATCATAAATAACTAGTGTAAATAAATACATTTACTTCTTTTAAAAAAAAAAAACTCCTTAAAAAGGGTTCCTTTCCAAATTACTTGAAGTTAAACTAAAGGATAGTAAATCATTTGAAGGACTGACTCACAGTGATACCTACATTGAAAGATTCCAAAAAGCAACAGAAATTCCTAAATATGGGAGACAAAGTCTTTTAAATACCATATATCTTAGCTCTAAATATTTTAAACATTATCTTGAATATCGGTCTTTATAATGTCAAATAACAGAATGCATTTCAGCAATTAAACTGCTGAATATTTCTTTTTACAGTTGCTGGCATGGCAAATCTTTGTTTCCCATGAAATCACATGTCAATAACATGGAAATTTACCTCATGAACCCAAAGACGTTTGATCACCTCTTTGGTTTCTGCTGTTTCTGGTCTTGACAAGCAAACCCCTTGAATGACCCTGGAGAAATCACGGAGGTTGAATAAGTAGTGAGACTTCGCGGGCGTGGGCAAAAGATTCTTCATGGCTTCTTTATACAGGGTCATTGTGCCATTCACAATTTGTTTGGTCAAGTCCAGAAAGTCTTCTGGAAATTGACAACTTAAAATTTTTGAGTAAAAAGAAAGACAAATGTTAGAAAATGTAGAATTACAATACAAAAATGGTATTTATAATGACCCATGTACAATTTTAAATTTGATTACATCAACTTGATTTACAAAATTGCTTTTTTATAATGATAATAGTAGATTTTTTTTACTTCCTGTAAAGCTACTTCCTATTCATTATTTTATATTATGTCCAAAGAAACCCTGTGAAATAAACAAGACCAGCTGAATGGACTTAAAATCACATCATTACGGGAAGAGAAGAACCAGCCAAGGAACCCAGATGATAGAATCCCATCCACTATGTCCACCAGAAAAGCACTGCCTCACCTTTCCCTCACTGGCATTCTCAACTGCATATAGATAGAATCCATAAGGAGTACTGGTGAAACGGGCATTTGCAGAGAGAGAGAAGGAGGAAAAAAAAATTTTTAAGTAAAAATAAGAAAAAGAAAAAGGAGAGTGAAATAGCAAATTAGGATAAAAAACACGAAGTGAGCTGGACCCAGAGACTCATACCTGTAATAACAGCACTTTGGGAGGCTGTGGCAGGAGAACTGCTTGAGCCCAGGAGTTCAAGATCAGCCTAGGCAACATAGCAAGACCTCATCTCAACAAAAAAATTAAAAAATTAGCTGGGTGTAGTGGCACACATCTGTAATCCCAGCTACTCAGGAGGTTGAGGCAGGAGGGTAGCCAGAGCCCAGGAATGGGGCTGTGATGAGCTATAATCGTGCCACTGGGCAACAAAGTGAGATCATGATTAAATAAATAAATAAATAAATAAATAAATAAAATTTAAAAAGACAAAGTGCCTGATGCGGGTAGAAAGAATATAGGGAAAGGAATCTCCTTTGAAAAAACTGGTTGTATTTGACTTCTGGCTTAACCAGGAGCCGGCTGTCTCCACTGTCACCACTAGAGAGGGCAAGGAGTGACAACTTCCTGAGGACCAGGCCAAGACTCCCACTACCCAGCTCAGCTTGATCCCTGACATCAGGCATCTCGTTTAGAGCAGCATCTCATTGAGAGCAGCATCTCCAGAGCTGGGGAGTAACATCTGCCCAAGGAAGAGGTTCCAAGGCTGTCACCTCAAACATGGCCATGGATACCCTATAGAACTCAGGTTATACCAGAGGGTATCAAAGTCGTGGGATAAACCTGGCACGTCCTTCCTGTATTAATTGTACTCAGTGGTGGAAATTCAGAATAACAATTCAAACATGTCTGACATATGACCCAGCAGAGTGCTCTGGCCCCTAGGTTATGTCCAACACTGGGAGGCAGGAGGGAGAGACGGAAGCTATGTTGTCTGTTACCTTTTCCTGAAACATTTGAGAAGTGCTACTTAACATGGACACGCTTCTAAAAGACCTTATACCTTTAAATGAAACAACAAACAAACTTTACATCACTTACCAGGTTTTTAAATGCCATGTTAAGATTCTAGAGAAGATTGTAAACATGGATTTATCACTAAATTCATTGATTGTTATGATGTTGAAATGTCGCATGTATCGAGGAGTGACTGGATTTCGACCACCGCCTAAGTATTAAAAAAAAAAACTCTTAGCAATGTTACTGGTGTATAGAGTGTTTTCTCCAACACTTTACAATTTAAAATAATGAAAGATGGACAAATTCACTGCACACAAAGAAGTGAAGAATAATCAATTATTTGGATAAGCTCAGTATCTAAAGCATTTTCCCCTCAACCTCAAAGCATTGTTTTTCTATTTGAATTGTCTATTGAGTTCAACAAGCTAGACATCATCTTGAGTCACATCTGCATTGCTGGGGGCAATCAGACCAGGAAGAAAGAGACATTAGTTATGTTCTCACAAACAGTAAGAAGTAAGCATCCTCAACGCACTGTGAAGATGCAACATTATACAAATTAATACATTATACACGATTAAGACCCAAGGGTGCCTCCCACAACCTGAAGTTCTGCACAGCCTTGGCCCTCGCCTGCCTTTCCAACATGGGGAAATGAGACTCCCTGGACTAGCCTGTGTCATTGGTGCTGCTTCTACTGGCTGCCTGCATCTTTTAAAACTGGAAGATTTTCCATAAAATAATGAAAGTTTTTTAAAAATATGTATACTTTACTTGGAAAACATAAAGGATCTCCAAGAACTAATTTTTTTTCACAAAATAATGATTATATTTTCCAATATGAGACTTTAATAACTGATAACACATCTTACAAAATTGCGTCACCTTTAAAATATATAGACAAATTGCATTTGCTTTTTAGAAGGATTATATCATGAATTTTCGGTATAGAAGTGATTTTAAAAGTACATAATATCTCAAACATATATTTTCCATAAATATATAGGTTCATGTTTTATGTTTGTTTAAAGCCAGATAAATCTGTCTTTTGCTTCTATCACTGAAGTACACTGTACTGTTTCTAAAAACATGCATAATGTGTAAAAACACATAACTGGTAGTGAAGGGTGTATGTATGTACTTTTAGAGACAGGGTCTGACTTTGTTGCCCAGGTTGGAATGTAGTGATGTGATGTAGCTCGCTGCAACCTGGAACTCCTGGGATCAAATGATCCTCCCACCTCAGCCTCCTGATTAGCAGGGACTACAAGTGCACACCACCATGCCTGGCTAACTTTCTTTTTTTTTTTTTTTGAGTTGGAGTCTCACTCTGTCGCCCAGACTGGAGTGCAGTGGCCCGCTCCCGGCCACTGCAGCCTCGACCTGCTGGGCTCTGGTAATCCTTCCGTCTCAGCCTTCCAAGTAGCTGGAACTACAGGCGCACGCTACCATGCCCGGCTAATTTTTTGATTTATTGTAGAGATGAGGTCTCGAACCCACGGGCTCAGGCAATCCACTCACACAGCCTCCCAAAGGTGCGGGATTACAGGCTGAGCCACCGAGCCCGGCTTTTTTTTAAGAGTCGAGGTCTTACTATGCTGCCCAGGCTAGTCTCAAACTCCTGGATTTAAGCAATCCTCCTGCCTCAGCCTCCCAAGTACAGGGATTATAAGCATGAACCACCACATCCAGCCTATCTATGTGTTTATAACGAGCATAAATTTAAGCTTATGTTGAACACGAATTTACCTTGGCAAATTGAAGGGGCTGGTGAAAAGGTTGCAGAAGGAGAAGTGAGAGGTATCCACCCAACCCATCTTCAGCCCTTCCTCCCAGAGATGCTCAGAAACAGTGGTGTTTTAGAAAATGGAACAGCCTAACAAATCACCTAAGACAGCTGGAAACACAAGACCACTAAAACCCTAACTTTAGCAGAAGAATTCAGATCACCAAAGTAAAAGCCCAAATACAGGACACAGAAGATAAAAATATCATAGAAAAAATCAACAAAACAAAAAGACGGTTCTTTGAAAGAACAAACGAGAATGCCAGACCCCTAGCCAGACTGACCAAGAAAAAGCCCAAATAAACACAATCATAAATTCAAAAGATCAAATTGCAACTGACCCCAAAGAAATATAAAAGATTATCAGAGATTACTATGCACACCTATATGGAAACAAACTTGATAACCTAAATGAAATGGAGGACTTTCTGACATCACACACCCTCCCAAGGTTGAAAGAAGACATTGAGACACTAAATAGACCAATAACAACCCAGAAAATTGACTTCGTCATAAGAAAACTACCTACAAAAAAAAAGCCCTGGACCAGATGGCTTTCCAGCAGAATTCTACAAAACATACAAAGTGGAATTGATACCAATCCTATTGAAAGTATTCTAGGCAATTGAGAAAGATGGAATTCCCCCCAAATCATTTTACAAAGCTAACATCACACTGATACCCAAACTGGGTAAAGATCCAACCAAAAAAGAGAACTACAGACAATATCCCTAATGGACATAGATATAAAAATTCTCAGCAAGGTTTAATTAAATGTAATTAAATTCATCAACAGATGTAAAAACAAGAACCACATAACTACATAATGAGATGCAAAAAAAGTCTTTGATAAAATTCTGCATCCCTTCTTGATAAAAACCTTGAACACCTAGGCATAGAAGTAACATACCTCAAAATAGTAAGTGCCATCTATGTCATTCACAGCCAGCATATTGCTAAATGGACAGAAACTGGAAACATTTCCCCTGAAAACTGGAACAAGACAAGGCTGCTCACTCTCCTCCCTTCTGTTCATTGTATTGGAAGTCCTAGCAATAGCAATTAGATAAGAGAAGGAAATCAGGGGTATCAAAATAGGAAAAGAAGTTAAATTATCCCTCTTTGCTGATGATATGGTCCCATACCTTGAAAATTCAAGATAATCTGTCTAAAATCTCCTTGAACTGATAAAGGACTTTGGCAAAGTCTCAGGATACAAAATAAACATGTAAAAGACAGTTGAATTCTTATACACCAACAACAAACAGGTAGAGAACCAAATAAAAAGCACAATCCCATTCACAATAGACACACACACACACACACACACACACACACACACACACACACACACACAATGAAATACTATGGCATCTTCATAACCAGAGAACTAGAATAATGAAGACTACAAAACATTGCTCAAAGAAATCCAAGAAGATACAAACAAATGGAAAAATATTCCATGCTCATGGATAGGAAGAATCAACATTGTTAAGATGTCCATCCTATCAAAGGCAATCTACACATTCAACACAATACCCATTAAATTACCAACATCATTCTTTTCAGACCTGGAAATGACAATACAGAAATTCATATGGAAATATAAATGACCACGAATAGCCAAAACAATTCTTAACAAAAGAAACAAAGTGGGAGGTATCAGACTTCCAGACTTTAAACTTTACTATAAGTCTACAATAATCAAACACCCTGTATTGGTACAAAAACAGGCATATGGACCGAAGTAACAGGATAGAGATCCTGGAAGCAAAACCTCAACTTCTCAACCAACTCATCTTCGGCAAAACCTCCACCAACAACCACTGAGGAGAGGAGAACCTATTCAGTAAATGGTGCTGGGAAAACTGTCTGATCACAGGCAGAAGATTGAAACAAGACCTAACTGTTACCATACATAAAAGTCAACTCTAAATGAATCAAAGAACTAAATGCAAAACCTCAAAGTACAAGAATCTTAGAAAATGCAGGGGACACCGTTACAGAAATCGGAGTAGGCAACCAATTCTGGATCAAAACCCCAGGTATCCATGGCATAAGAGATAAGATTGATAAGTAGGACTTCATTAAACTGAAAAGCTTCTGCAAAACAAACAAAAAACCATCAAGAGAGCAGAGAGACAGCCCACAGAATGGGAAAAATTATTTGCCAACTATATATCTAACAAAGGCCTAACATTTAGGATCTACCAGGAACTCCAACGTGCCAAAAAGGAAAAAAAAACCAAACAGCCCCATTAAAAAGTGGGCAAAAGACATGAGTGGACACTTCTCAAAAGAAGATATATGGGCAGCCAACAGACACGTGAAAAAGTGCTCAGCCTCACTAATCATCAAAAAAATGCAAATCAAAACCACATGAGATCCCACCTAACCCTAGTAAAAATGGTCATCATTAATAAAACAAACAACAACAGATGCTGGTGAGGATGTGGAGAAAAGGGAATACTTCTAGAGTGCTGGTGGGAATGCAAACTAGTTCAACCTTTATGTAAAACAGTGTGACAATTTCTAAAAGAACTAGAAATTGACCTTCCATATGACCCAGCAATCCCCCTACTGGGAATATACCCCAGAGGAACTCAAAGCATTCTACAAAAAAAATACTTGCACACACACGTTTATTGCAGCACTATTCACAATGGCAAAAACATGGAATCAACTGTGCTGCCCATTGAAGCTGGACTGGATTAAAAAAAAGTGGTACATATACACAATGGAATATAATGCAGCCATAAAGAAGGACAAACATATGAACTTTGCAGTAACTTTGATGGATTTAGAGTTACTAATACTCAATGATCTATCACAGAAACAAAGAATAGAGTACCATATGTTCTCATTCATAAATGGACCCAGAACATTTACCATAGTACTATAAGAAAGGGATTGGCAGTAGTGGGATACTGCTGGGATGTGGGGGTGGGGGACACAACATCAATAAGGGTACCTGATCTCAAACCAGGCAAAGTGGGGACCAAAGGGAGGCCCAAACTTTACCTATTGATGCCCACTTGTATACCTAATCCTGAATTGTACCCTACATTAAAAAAAAAAAAAAAAAAAAAAAAGACAACGGAGCAGAAATATAAGAGGAAAAAGCCCTTCGTGGACTCAGCCTGTATATCTGTCCAGTGCTTGAAGAGGCAGGAACAGTGGACATGTGAGTGCAACAATTGACTTGGGTGGCAGAGGAGAGATAACATGGACTGAAGCCTGAAGCTAGGAGAGCTATCATCTCTTATTTTTAAAAAGAACAAAGGTGTTCACAGTAGCCCAGGGTGTGTGCAGTCAGCAATTACTGACTGAGAGCAAACGGTCTGCCTGCAGATCAAATGAAGTCTGAGGAGATGGAGCAAGCTTCCCTGAAGCAGCATATTGAGAGAAGAAACTTTTCAAAAATAGAATACCAGCATGAGGTCAGGAAGAGGACAATTAAACATGTCTAGTTAGTTGAATCAAGCCATTTTTGACACCCAGAGAAAAAATCTGCATAGAATTTCCTTGAGTTCATAAATTTCTCTTGGAAAATGCAAAGGATCTTTAAGGGTTCATTCTTCTGGCCGTTTTCTTCTTAAATTCTTTTTGCAGCCCGTCCACATCCAGAGACTGATTAGATTGGGGCCCAGCGGGGTTACAGGAAAGATAACCTTAGAGGCAGGGGTATCCTGTGTGACTGCAGCATTAAGGGATGATAGAGAGGATAACAGATGTCCCGGGCAACCTGGCTTCTCAGAATACAGAGTGGGAAAGGTGAGCAAAGTCCCTGGAGGTGGGAGAGAAAAGGATTTGAAGACTTGGGTGAGTGGCTCAACCATGGTCACCCTGTTTCTAGAGCTGGACATCATGGTACAATCCCTTAGGTCACATGAATATACACAGAAAACATGCAGTACACAAAACATTGGAACCCCAAAGGTTTTGTTTTTGTGTTTTTTTTTCAGCTAGGCACAGGGGCTCACATGTCCCAGCTTTTTTGGGAGGCTGAGGTAGGAGGATCGCTTGAGCCCAGGAGTTTGAGAACAGCCTGGGAAACATAGCAAGACCTTGTCTCTACAAAAAGAATTTTAAAATTAGCCAGGTATGGTAGCGCACGCCTATAGTCCCAGTTACTTGGGAGACTGAGGTGGGAGGATCATCTGTGTCCAGGAGTTCAAGGTTGTGGTAAGCTATGATTATGCCACCACACTGGAGCCTAGAAGACAGAGAACCTGACTCAAACAAGACTCCCCACAAAAGGTTTTTTTCTCCCTAGTGGTCGCTTTAGATATAGCTAGAGTAACTTTTCATCTTTATTATCACAAGCTCAGAAAATGTACCTGGAGGCCCCATAGCACACATGATCTGAATGTCTACTAGTTTAATCATCGAGCAGTCCTTCAGATCATACCAATTCCAGTGATCTAACCACTGTCTGAGCAGCTCGATGGGAGGTTGAGCCCCATATACCTCTCGGGCAGGCATATTGACATCGTCTACAAAGACAACCTGAGAGTGAAAGAGAAGGAGCATTAGAAATCGTCTGCATCTTCACATAGTGTCCTATTGTATAAATACGTTGAGGCAGACACTGAGGTTATCTCCATGTAGACCCATGTGGGAGATGATGGGTTCTCTTCCAAACAAGGAGCATATCCTAAGCACCCATGTTTCAGCACTCCCACTCCTCTAGAGAGACAGAAGCATTCTCACAACTAGTCTCTATAGGTTAATAGCTTGAACTTCTTAGTCCCCTCATACAATTTGTTTCCCAGCATGACTTGTCTTTTCTTCTTGTCCCATACGTCATTAAAGTAGATGAGAAAGGTGCGACTAGGGGGAGGAGGGCATTCTCTGCCAAGGAGCACGTTGAGTGAGTTGACGGTTGGATAAAGGTCGACAAAAGTGAGAGACAGAAACTTTGCTGGGGAAATGCTAGCGAAAGGCAGATGGTTTCTCAGATGAATGCTCCACTTTCAACTCAGAGGGCAGCTGTGTGTTTTTAGCCTCAAACTGTCTAGTACCCATACAAATATAATCACTCTTTTAGGAAAAGTTTTTAATCCAGATTTGTGATTAAGAGAAAAAAAAGCTATACAGAAAGCTGTCAAGCCCCAGGATATCTGGTTTCCTGGTTCCAGCTGCAGCAGTGTTTGCAACTCAGCCCCATGTTGCACCATGCATACAGAAAGGAACGACCCTTACCATTTTCTTGCCCAAAGGAGGGCCAAAGACCCCCTTTCTTCTTTTGTCCAGTTTTGACATGATGATGTTCTGAGTTTGAGCTGCTGTAGTTTGTGCAGAGAAGTTAATTAGCAGGGGTTTGTAGGTGTCTTTGTTGAGTTGATTTAAAAGAAAATTCTGTGTAACAGAAGATAACAAAATGAGCATCACTGGAATCATGTTTTGACATTTCAAAATAAGCATTGAGCACTACTTTTGACAGACTCGAATTTAACCTTAAGAGACATGGTGATATAAAAAGAGATGGAATTGGTAGGAGTGATGGTCGCCATGCCAACGGAGTGCATCTACTGGCCCAGCCCCTGCTGGGCCTTCACAACAACCCTGAAGACTGCACATTCCTCCTACACACCAAGTCACCAGGGCTCCGAGGTTAGGAAACTGCCTAAGGTCTCAGGGTGGCAACAATTCAGACTTTCACTGGTCTCTCTCCAGATCAGCAGCCTTTTTATATACCTTATTTACTTTCCACTTATGTACCACATTATCTTCCTGTATGTTTGTTTAGTTTAGTTTAGTTTTTATTTGAGTTGAGATCTCACTCTGTTACCTAGACTGGAGTGCAGTGGTATAATCATGGTTCACCATATCCTCGACCTCCTGGGCTCAAGTGGTCCTCCCCACTCAGCTTCCTAAATAGCTGGGACTACAAGCATGTGCCAGCATGCCTGGCTAATTTTATTTGTTTGTTTATCTGTTTGTTTGTTTGTTTTGTAGAGACAAGACCTCACTATATTGCCTAGGCTGGTCTCAAACTCCTAGGCTCAAGAGATCATTCCACCTCGGCCGCCCAAAGTGCTGAGATTACAGGTGTACGTCACCATACCCAGCCAATTGTATTTTCAAAATAGAATCCACTGAGAAGCACCCTACATGGTTGTTGTGAGAAGCAGGCATGATTGCAATGGCTCTTAATCGAGATGTACAACAGGGTCAGACATATCAGGATTTCCTGTGGAGCTCATCAGGGCAGGCCAGTCTCTCCTGGTCCTCGTCCCCTTCTCCCCCTTGGGTCCTTTAGAGGCACAATGCCTCCCGATTAAGGGCCAGTTATTAGAAAATCTTAAGTAAGTCATAATTTCCTAGTTTAATTTCATTCCTATGCTCATGGGTAAGGAAAGGCCAAAAGCCAGGCATTTCCGCCTGCTTCAAGAGTGACTTGCAGTAAGTGCTCCCAGCATTCACCCTATTGTGTGTAAGATACTAGATTATTAATCTAAAATATCACGTGGTAACACACCTCAAAGCAAGTCCTCTTTCATGACCTGATGATGAGCTTAAACATCACTGTAATGAAATTACAGACTCTTCCCATTATAATCAAGACATTAAACTTCACCCAACAGATTTGCTCTCAACCAGTCTTCAGTAAATTTTTTTGTTCTAATGTGATGTTACGTTTTCTGTAATCTCTAACTAGAATTCTACTTTTTATTTTTCATTGTTTACCTAGACATGTACTAATTTGAGGAGAAAATCACTTTAAATATTAAATGTTATGCTTAATCCTTTTAATAAGATGAAATGTAAGCAAATACAAAAGTTGCATTAAGCATTTTATATGAATAAATTTTCAGTGAAAATGCTTTATGGAAATGAAAGTTATGTAACATTGTCTCAAAATACTATTTTTTTTCACTGAAAAATAACTTTTTGAGATTCTAGCTCTACACTGTATTATTTACAGCACAATCAGCTCTTACTTAATTGAGGCAATGTCCTTGAAGGGCATGGCAGATGATAACCTTTGTGAGGAACAACTTAGTATTTATCAAAAATCAACAATTTCCAAGACTCTAGGAATTCTTCCTAAGCAAATAAGCAGAGATAAGAACAAAGGTTTAGCTATAAAATGCTGACTGCAATCTTATTTTTAAAGCAAAATATTAGAAAAATTAGGGATTTGAACCAATCATTATAATTATTATATAATTTTATATATAATCAATTATTATAATGATCATATAATTAATTAAAGAATCTAATACCTTAATATTCTTTAAATTATCTTGTAGAAGAATAATAAAATAGAAAAATACTTACAATATTGGTTATAAAAAAGCAGCTTTCAAAACTATGTTCCCTATTTTGTGAAGGCAATGTTTTTCTGCCTGGGCAGTTTATTGCCTGGGCTTAATCTGATGAGGGGACAAATGACAAAAGGCTGCATTTTCCTCTGGCCCCTGCCTTTGATAAGTCTCCATCGCCTGGCCCTTGGTGATATCGTGGAGAAATCTCACAGCTCTCTGTACACTTCTAGTTATCTTTCTAAAACCCAGGCTAAATCAACCCTCTCAGCAAAAATCTCTCCCCTTTCTGGATATTCCCTGATACAAGCAAGCATTTAGTTTATGATAAAGCTGTCATTCCAAACTGTTGTGAAGATAGCATTCAACAAATAATACCAGGGCAATTATTTAGCTATACTCCCAAATACATTCCATAATTTTAAATTTAAAAATAAAATCGATAAAGAACTAGAAAGAGGGCCTGGCATGGTGGCTCACACCTGTAATCCCAGCACTTGGGGAGGCCAAGGCAAGAGGTTCGCTTGAGGCCAGGAGTTCAAGACCAGCCTGGGCAACAAAAAGAGTCCTAATCTCTACAAAAACTTAAAAAAAAAAAATAGCTGAGTGTGGTGGTGGTGCCTATAGTCCTAGCTACTCGGGAGGCTGAGGCAGGAGGGTTTCTTGAACATAGAAGGTTGAGGCTGCAGTGAGCTATGATTGTGCCACTACACTCCAGCCTGGGCAACAGAGACAGACCCTGTCTTAAAAACAAAAACAAACAACAACAAAAAACTAGAACCAGGAGGTACCATGGAGAAATGAGGGTTAACTGGGAACCTGCCATGGGAGAAAAGTCACTGACAGCATCATCATTTCTTCCTTAGGCTGTGTGTGGCTGCTGAGATTTGGGGCATTATTTGTTCCAGCAGCTAGCTTCATCTTAACTCACACACCATGGCTAAGATTCCAGAAGCCACAGGGAAATCAGTCTTACTACTACACAGTAATACTTCAGCTACAATATAACCCAGAAAATATCAAGTGCAACTAACAGAAATGCAATATAACCCAGAAAATATCAAGTGCAACTAACAGATATGAAACTATCATCTTGAACAAGTTATTCTTACTAAAATACCCAAATAAGTGGTACAATAACTTAGTGATATAAAATGGGATCATATCTTTAATAAATTTTCCAAAATAAATGGGCAATTCTCGCTTCTTGGCCTTTTGCTGAGATCAAGTATAAAATAAATAGGCAACTATTCAAACATTTTCTGTTGCAAACATCAAAATCCTTGATTTTTAAAAATTATTTACCTAATATTTCAGAAAATAACATTCTTAGGAGTCTCATGCACATTTTCATGTGTAGATTTCTATAATACTTACAATAATATAAACACTTTTTCCAGTTCCCGTTGGTCCTACAAATATTGAAGGCTTCTGATGAGTGGTCAACAGTTCCATTAATGCAGAGTATCGAACTGTGTCCAGAGTCGGCACAATGATTTCGTGAAACAGCAGGTCTTTGGGAATAGGAGCAGTGACTTCCAATTTCTTTATCCATGGTTCCCATTTTCCTATTCCCTGTTCATCGTAAGTAGCGAGGCCGTGAGTGTTGTGCCTAAAATACTTGAAAAAGCGCTACACTCCTACAGACAAGGTCAAAGCCAACACACCCTGATGCTTTTTATACTTTTTTTTTGGTAATCAGGGTCTCATTCTGTTGCCCGGGCTGGAGTGCAGTGGCACCATCATGGCTCACCACTGCCTCTACCTCCTGGGCTCAGGCAATCATTCCGCCTCAGCATCCTGAGTAGCTGGGACTACAGGCACAAACCATCATGTCTGGCTACTTTTTTGTAGAGACAAGGTATCTTTATGTTGCCCAGGATGATCTCAAACTCCTGGGCTCAAGCAATCCTCCTGCCTTGGCCTCCCAAAGTGCTGGGATTACAGGCATAAGCCACAATGCCCAGTCTACACATCTTCTTTATCTTTTAAAGAACATAACATTCAGCTTGAAAGTTAAATGTTTTTTGTAAGTTAAGAAGAAGCCAGGCTTTTGCATGAATACAAATGAAATAGCAACTAAAACCAGTGCTTGAGCCACCCAAGTATCAGTTATTGTGGACAAATATTAGATTCTTCAATGTCATTGAGAAAATTAGACTAATTTAATGGTCTAAAGCATAAATAGTTTTATTCAATAAATGTTAACCAATATTGAAATTTTTTCTCCCTAGAAAATCAGCAGCATACTGCTTGATTTTTATAATGGCATCTGTAACATCAGTTTATCATTGCAGGCACTATTTTTTTACATTGCAGTAAAAAAATATAAAATTTCCCCTTAACCATTTTAAAGTGTTCAGTCCAGTAGTGTTAACTATATCTACACTGCTGTGTAACAGATCTCTAGACAGACAAGATTTCCTAATATGAGACTATTATTATGAGTTAACATTATGTTATATCCTTGCATCCAATTCGCTTATGAACTAAATCTTTGTTTGCTATGGCAGTGTTTATAACACAAAAATTTAAAAATGTGTTAATTCTCTCTCCTTAGAAAAACACCACTGCCCTCTCTATTCTTACAGAATAAAATCTAAACTCTTGGTCAATCAGAGCACATCACAGCCCAGTCCCATCCCTCCTTCACAGCCAGGCCTCCAATGCATCTGCTGGCCTGGCACCTGCCCTGGTCCTAGGCCTTGATGCTAGCATCCCCCGCTTCATTGTAATACCATCTTAAGACTGATGAGGATTTAGCATCCTCAAAAAGGAATCACTACTGTATGCACAACTTTGTTTCTGAAGGTTCAAAGAGGAATAAACCATAGTGCTGCACTCAGTGAGTCCATGGCCTCTTCAGAGGATAGTCGTGTGCCGTTCTAGGCCAAGGGCATGCTAGCATCAAGGTCTGAGACTGTGGCAGATTTGTATTCATGCAAAAGTCTGATTTCTTCTTAATTCCAGAACTGAGATTAAGAAAAAAATAATGCCTTTCTCATATTCTTGATCATCTTTTCAAACATGTATCTTTTGGTACCATACGGGAAAGGATGAATTAAGAATCAGAAGATCTGAAATGTACAGTCATTTAGAGATTGTATGATCCTGGGACAATCACTTAAAATCTCTGAGCCTCATTTTCTCAATGGCAAAATTTGCAGACTAATCATGTCCTTCCTATTTCATTGAGCTGTTGAAACACAAAGTAGAAATAATTGCAGAAAGAGTAATAAACTATAAAACACTCTGAAAATGCTGGGTATTATTTGTAACTTGAAATACAATAAAATTAGCAAAGGTAAGAAGATAATATCTATGTTGGACAAGGCAGAGCTCTTTCTCGGGTGAGCTTGGCCGTGCATCACAGGAGGTATGAAAATTTAAAAATTGATATGGCAATGCCCTTTCTAGAAATTTATCTTAAGGAAATAATCAGCTATGTATACAATGACTTGTACCTAAGAATATACCAAATCAGTACTTAAAAGTGATAAACTAAAAACAACAAGAACAATCCAATGTCCAAGGGTAGGAAACTGATTAAATCAATCTGTTCATACAGTAGGGAGACTTTAGAAAACAAGTTTACTGAAGAAAAATTGGTGAGAAGGAAAGTTCTCTTTATTAAGTAAAAAAGAAGGACATAAAACTGCCCCTTGGGGATATGCTCTGATCCAAATTTTACTTAAATCTGCTTATATTCGTATAATATGTGTTCCTAACTTTGTCCCCAATACAATACTCATGGGAGTTGTTATACAAAAATTAACAAGCACACCACCTAATTTGTACTGTCCAATCCACTTGGGCAGTGCTGAGTTAGTGTTAGACCAGCCGTGTTCCAATAGGACCACTCAGTGCTGGTGACTTACTACCAGGAACCATGAATCTCCAAGTGGTGTCCTTGAACAGTGTGTGCCAGGTGCTGGGCTAGACATCACAATGTATGACTCTATTTAAGGGGTATCGTTGGCCCATCAAGTACTACTGTTACCACACTATCATCGGGAAGCTCTACGTTCCAGGAAATCAACCAGTCCATGACTGTCCAGAAAGAAAGTGACTTTGCTAGGATTTGGGCCCAGATGTATCTGACTCCAGAGCCATCCCACCTTCCTCTACTCCATGCTGTCAAGTGAAGTGAATAGGGTGAAGGCGGCCACAAACCATTATGTGCTGTGTGTCTAGGTTGGCAGTTGGAAATCTTGCTCCAAAACTCTTACCTGAGTGACAAACTGATAATCATAAATGGTTCCTTTTTCAGGAAATGGAATAGTTAGTGTCTTTGAGGGCATGTGCTCAGCACCACTCTGTAGTTTAAATCTATTTCGAGTACGTTCTGAAATGGAACCTTCCATTAGTTCTCGAAGAATATTATTAAATTTCAACCGATCATCAGCTGTACAAGAAGCACCAATGGACCAGATCAATGAAAACAGGAAGATACCCTGCATGGGAGAGATGGGAAGACAAGGAGAAATTAAAGAATAGTGTCAGTCTCTCCCTGAAGCCTAGTTCAGGTCAGCCAGATACATGTTTCTGAGAGGAAATACACATGCCGACATGTAAGAGAAGGCCATCTCAGGGTTGGTAATACGTGTTTTTGTCAGATTGTATGTCTTAGAACATCTTGGAGAAGACCATACCATGCAAAGTGTATATCCCAGCCATAGTGAAACTGTAAAATGATTAATGTAGTAAACCATGTTATATTTTCAGTATATGGCAGGAATTTGATATTAAAACACAAGTATCTTTTTACTAAGGTATTAAAGTACATGTTAACAAGGCAAATAACTTACTATATATATTTTAAATTTAAATTTGCCATAATGGGTGTATTTTCTTTTATTTGTAATGCCATCTGAGCATTAATTGTGTAGGCTAGAATTACAATCCTACAAGCAAAAGGCACTAGTTTGCTTCTCATCAGACTCAAGCAGAGGGACCAGGTTGGAAGACAAGGCCCACCAGCAAGATGAGAAATCCTGTTTGCTTGTTTTAAAACCAAATCTCTTAAGACCAAAGCCAACAGAGTCTGACTATGCTCATGAAAGTTCTAGACTCACTTTGACCTTGTTTGCCTCTTTCTAGTTTACTCACAGACTATTATCTCCAGAAACTACTGAATTCTAAATTTAAAATTAATTTATTTTACAACAGATAAACTACACAAGTACCACACTGACTACATTAGAAGCACAGTCATGAGCAGTACAGTAGTATATTTATTTTAAAATATCCGAGGTCTATAGATACTTTATTTTTCTTTATGAAATCTGCTTATAGATTATCTACATTTGTTTTGCTTTTTACATACATGCACATGCACACACATATAACATTTATAACAAATGAAAAAAGGAAGAAAAGGGAAGAGAGCAATAAATTCGTATGATTTGGAGGGGAAGTGAATCTCATTGCCAGATGGTCAATGGCAATTTGGCATGGGACATTTCTGACCATTGCTGGGCACATGTCTGAGATTACCTAGCAGATCTGAGATGTCACTGGGCTCCACCCAAACCTCCAGACACACCGAGACTGCACCCCAGAAGTTCCCCAACCAGTCCCTAGTAGCTTTATCCTCATCTGTGGCTCCCACCCCTTCACAGTCTCCAATTGCAAGGGCAAAGCAGGTGTCATTACTCAGGAAGCTTCAGGGAAAGCAATGGAGGTGTGTCTTCTAAGACACAGAAGGCAATAACTCTCACCTCAAGCAAGGAGTAAGTTTCTCGGTCATTTCTCTCTTTTACTTTGACTTCATCAGCAAAATTATCCATAAAACAGTCTATTAGATTCATTAAGGATCGGACCAAGTTGGTATCTGAAGTAGGAGATAATTCCTGAAAAGTCAAGACAAAAAGAGATCTATGAAATAAGTTACAGTAGGCACTAGTTAAAATATGAAAATGGGAATGACAATAGCAATGAAACCCCAAAGCCTTACTGGCATGTGTAACTGCTGTGCATTTTGCTTTTTCGCACCTCGCATGGCAGTTTATAAAATAAATGAAATGGCGTCCAGAACTACACAGCACATGGTGCACTCAGCAGCTGTTTGTCTTCCCACTCCCAGCTCTCCTGCAGTCATGAGAGTCACATTGCTTTATGGCTAACATGTGAGAATCCACTCTCTGAAGATGAAAAGCAATGACTTCATACCAGTCACGGCCCCAGGAGAGGCAAGCAGAAATGACCGCAGAATTTCCCACTAAGGATGGACTAAGTGCTACCTACAATGCTGAAATACACAGGACTACAAATGAGAGAGATAACGGTTGCTACAGAGTAAATGATTTCTTCAAGAGACAAAAACACACAGCACCTTTTAGAAAGCTTGCATTTAAAAGTTTTTGTTATACTATAGGAAGGGTAAGTTCCAGTTATATGGAAAATTTATTTGCAATATCTAAATTCTCTAATTATGCCTAAAACCCCCAAAAACTCCTATAGCTTAGTTTACGATGACCCTCAATTCATGCATATTGAGCTGTTTTTGAACATGATTACTCCGTTACTTCATATCTACAGCATATTTTGGCTATAAGACTTTTTTTTTTAAATCAATATTTTTTATTATGATTTTGTGGGGTACAGTTAAGGGTTAGGTGTACAATTACCTTTCATTCAGGCACCCTGTTGATAAGAGGTGTTTCCCCAACCCCAGACAGATATTTGCGACTGTTAATGCCATCCCCCCCCCATAGTATCCCAGTACCATCAGTCATTTTCTTATAGTATTACACTGGATGTTCAAGGTCCATTATATGAGTGAGAACATGTGATACATGGATCTTTGTTTCTGTGAGAGGTCACTCAGTATTATAGACTCTAGTTCCATCCAGGTTGCTGCGAAATTCATGATTTTGTTCTTTTTTATGGCTGCGTAGTATTCCATTGTGTATATGTACCACATTTTTTAATCCAGTCCTCTTTTGATGGGCAGCATGGTTGTTTGAAGGTTCTTGCTAGTGCGAACAATGCTGTGATAAACATACGTGTGCAGGTATCTTTTTTATAGAGTGATTTGAGGTCTTCAGGGTATATTCCCAGTAGGGGGA